TATACACACACACACACACACACATACATACATACGTGTGTGTGTGTGTGTGTTTTGTGTTTTAACTTGCTTTTAAATAATAAGTCTTTGTGAGCTTTCAGTATCCACAGTACAAATGCAAACACACAAGTAGGGTTGCAATTTCTTTTGGCAAATTTAACCCCATATTGGACCTAAAGATCATCATAAAATAACTTTCATATTCAGCACACTGTCTATCATCCATTCTGCTTACAGAGGAAATACAAAGAAAAGCAAGCTATTTAATTTTGTTCTGCATGATATGTAATAACCACCAGAATTCATCTAATGACGCCGACCCTTAATGTGAACTTCTGCTGTGCTTATTCCACCTATAAAACTGTTTATTAAAATCAAGTGTGCTGAAACAATCCAAGTAAAATATGGATAGAAGAAATCTCAGTGACTTTGTGAATTCAGCATTAATCCTCATGCCTACACGTGGTGAAATCCAGCACTTGGCTAAATGAACATGATTTTTATGTTTTGTTTTGTGCACAGATGTAGGCTATTTGTATTTGATTGTGCTATCCACTAAAGTTCCCAGGGGCTGTTCTGTTCTCTGCTTCCACTCTTGGCTTGTTTCTGTGCTGTTGTCCATCAGCTTTCAGCTACTGCTGGAAACAGGGCTCTCGTTTCATTCTGTGCACACATTTCCAGCCTTGTGTGTGATTTCCAGATTGTTCAATACTAAGTTGGCAGAAGGGAAAGCTACTCTGATTTTGAGTGCCCAGTTTGATCGTTCAGAAGACCATACATTAAGCTTTGCAGAAGGGAAGAGTGTCCTTCTATAACTGCTTTAAACATCCAGCTGCCACAGAGTTTAAGAATATTCTGGTTTCTGCTTTAACAAAATTATTTATGGCAGTTTGACACGCACACAAACACAGTGAGTCTATTCTGCATACAGCAGAGGGCTGAGCATGAATCGCATCATTTTCAGATTTCAGTCAGATCATAGATTTATGTTTTGTTGTATTAATAATTCATGCTCTCCATCCAAAAACCCGCATTGCAACCTGATCCTAATCAATGTTTTTTGTTGGAGCTGAGGGGTTGTGTTCACTGTGCATGTCTCTGTAGGCAACAGAGACTAAATTCATTAAAAAAAACTCATCTTTTGAAATTTATGCTTAGGTCTTGTAATTAAAGATCTACATATCGTGTAATGGAAATATTCTAGAAAAGCTGTAGGTGTTGAATTCTTGAAGTATTTTATTGTGAGATGGGGAGTCATTAAAAAAACAAAATAAAACAAACGATCAAACAAAAAGCTATCACTAAAAATGTTAAAACAGGGACATATAAAAGACTTTGTTGCCTTGATGTAGAGAAAGAGTTACAAATTGGCACAACCAAAAATAATAATAAAAAACAACACATTGATGATGTTTTGGCTTCATTAAAAGGGCAGCACAGTTTCATGGTGAAGGACAATCTTTCGATACAACAGCAAGGACTCATGCGTGTATAGCATACAATTCGTTTTCAGTAGCTTCAAAGTATAGTGGGGTAAGAGACAATAACATGAAAGTGACATGTAAAAGCTAACAGTTCTCATATACTTTTGGGGTGTTTTTGTTTTTTTCAAACAATGCATTTTGAAAATTTGAAAATAATACTTTTTCTGTTTTAAAACACTTTGAAATGCTAGAGTTCCTTCCCCAGCTTTGATTTCATTTATCTTCGAAATTATTCTTCATACTAAAATATATTATTGTATTAATACAAACTACAGTATTGTACACTACATTGTGTAATAAATAACCATAAAGAAAATACAAAAATAAGACACATAAATATAAAAGGTCTCTAAAACTAAAAATGTTAAGTTATACGTGGTGAGGGATGGGAGGGGTAATACTGCCTTTACTGAAAAACAAAACAAAACAAAAAAAATTACACAATGTTCACTGAAACAAACAACAACAAAAAAAACTTCATTACAAACAAGACAAAAATTAATACTGACAGGTAAAAAGGCTGACCGAAAAACACTAAAAGTGAATTCTTCATTGATCATATCTGCTTACATTTGTTACCTGAAGAAAAAGTGTCGTGCAGCTAAAGATAACAAGAGAAACAAGTGCACCAAACGGGAAAAATACTTCAAGGCTGAAAAAAGAGCTTATTTTTTTCTCCTTTTTGCTCATTGATCGTCTTTCCTGAATTCTTGATGCAGTGTAGTCCTTACTGGATTGAACAAATAAAAATACAAATAAAAAGAGGCAGTCTTGTCCTTTAGTCAGGACTAGTGGTTTAGGTGCAGGGGTCCAAAATTTTGCTACCAAAATCAAAGACAGCATGAGCCCCACGCGAGTGTGCTGCTCAGCAACGGCACAGCACTGTTCAATGGCACTTCCAACATGCATGTTTTTGCATAAGGGTGGATGATGGGTGGGGAAGGGACTGATGGCGATCACCTGAAACATGATGAAGACTACGTCTAAAACCAGCTGTCCAGGATTACTAAGGTTTTGATGTCTTGGCTTTTTGAGATTCATTAAAGCCCTCCCACCGTAACCACATCAATCTTTTGACATTTATGGCTCATAGTCCTTCTTGAAATGAGACGACAGACAAATGTGCTAGCGAGCACTAGCGTGGTATAGGGGCGCTAATACTGGAAGGTAGACATTAAACAACACAAGGCCCACATAGGTGTTTCATAGGTAAACTGGGAATATGGTAGTGCACAGGATACTTTTTTTCCTTCAAATGCAAGAAAATACTGAGTTTTGTTCATTGGCAATAAAAACGTATAGAAATCTCTCTCTTCCAACTGTACAGCTTTTGAGGGTAAACCGAGAGTGACAAAAAATTAGTAATACTGATAAAAGAAATTGACTGAAGGCGTTTTAGTAATAAACATTATTAGCCAAAACGTGTATAGCTTTCAGTCCGTATATGCGTCATTTTCTTTTTTGTTTTTGTTTGCATCGTTTTTTCGTTAAACTTTGCATTTATACAAACCATACTCAAACACTGAAAATTGTCTTTATGTGGAAAAAGTAACTATTTGTATTTATCAGGCACACCTGGGGGTTTATACACAGTAGTGGGTTTAAATGCAGCGTAAGAGCAGTCACGCTCTCTTCCTCACTTCATTCTTGTCTTAACACAGTCACTTCTCAGGAAGAGAGAGAAACATCTGCGGAGAGAAAACGTCTTTTTTGTTCCTTCAAATTAGTAACTTTGTAAAACAACGTCGTAAGGAATAAGGGCAATAAAAACACAGTTGTGGCTTCACTTCTCGTCTCCATTCATAGTGGCTGTGTTTTCTTCATTTTCAATCTTTTTCTTATCGTCCGCCGGGTTCTCTTTTTCTGTTATGTCCTTCATGTGTTCAAGAGTTCCTGTGTCCATGGCCTCCTCCGCCATTTGTTCATCCTCTTCGTTTCCGTCTTCACATTCATCCTGCATCACTACGACTTTCAGCGTTTGTCCGTCATTTTCCTCACTCTCACCTTCCTCGTCACCATCTTCTTCTTGTTCTGCCCCTTCCATCCTCTCTCCCTCCCCTTCCCGGTCTTCATCTGCTCCCTGGTCGTCTTCATCTCCCTCCTCTCCGATCTTGACCACCTGAATCTCATCCTCATCCACTAAGCTCCCCGAGCCCATCTCCTCATCCTCCTCGCTCTCATCCTCTCTGGTACTACTCCCCCGCTCATCCGAGTCCAGGTGGGAGGGGGGCGAGGTCGCTGTGCTGCCCGTCCGAGGCTGCTCCTCACCAGGATTGTCCTCTTCCTCGACTCCCTGACCTAGCCCTTGGCCTTGAGCCTCTTTCTTACAGTAGGAGTATCGGTGGTTCATGTGTTGCGAGTAGGAGCCAGAGTGGGAGAAGCGTTTGCCGCACTTGTCGCACTGGTACGGCTTTTCTCCGGAGTGCAGACGCAGGTGCTCTATTAGGTGGTGCTTGTGTTTGAAGGCCTTGCTGCAGATCCCACATTCATGAGGCCTCTTTCCTGCGAGAGATGAAGAAGTTGCACTCTATTAATATTTTCTTGAGAGAAATAGAAACATTTCTGAGCTTTTTTTCTGTGCAATTGGGAGTTTCATGTAAGGGCGAAATAGGTCCCCATGTAAAAGATGGTCATGCAAATTCGTCATGTTGACCAACAGAACACTGCTTGGTTCCAAAGTGACTTCTGTTTGAGTGGTGCTAATTGCGCTAATGTGAATGCTAAATGTGCTAATGAAATCCGAGAGCTTTCTGACCCTGCATAGACAGCAACAGAACTACCACGTTCAAGGCCCAAAAAGGTAGTAAGGACATCGTTAAAATAGGTAGTAAGGACATCATTGGTTTAACTGTGATTTTATGAAGGTACGGGAATAATTTTTGTGTGCAAAGAAAGCATAAATAGTAATTTTATTAAACAATTTCTTCTCTTCCATGTCAGAATTCAACATGCGTTCATGAAAGTACCACGCATGCGTGTAGTGCTGCTGACGCAGGAGCCGGCGTTCTGGCGTAGAAGACGCATGCGCTGCACCTTGTTTGCAAGCAGAGGAATGCACACGCATGCACCGTTGTGATACTCTTGTGAATGTGTGTTGAAGACTGACATGGAAGAGAAGAAATTGTTGAATACAGTTGATATTTTTAGTTTCTTTGTGCACAAAAAGTATTCTCGTAGCTTCATAAAATTAAGGTTGAACCACAGATGTCACATGGACTATTTTAACAATGTCCTTACTACCTTTCTAGGCCTAGAAAGGGCTTGGTATTTCTGTTGCTGTCTATGCAGGATCAGAAAGCTTGTGGATTTCATCAAAAATATCTTGTTTTCCAAAGATGAACTAAGGTCTTAAGGGTTTGGAATGACATGGGGGTGAATAATCAATGATAGCATTTTCATGATTGAATGATATTTTTTTAGATGAACTATCCATTTAACGTGTTAAAAATCATGTCACATCCACTGGAAGTTTACGACAAATGTTTGTCAGTTGATCGACACAATTACGCCACAGTATGATTTATTAAATGGACTAATTTTCATCAATTATATGCATGTTTTAAAAAGCTGTCACACAGCTCAACTAATAAAGGGTCCCAACCACAAAAAACATTCTTGTAATCTCTACATGCAGCACTAGAAAATCCCCCACACCCAGTGTTCAACCCTGAATCTTTAAGGCATTAAGAATTGCATTACATGTTGTTATGTAGCCATGGACAATAAGACCAAACAATGAATCAAAACAAGCTGTGGTGCACAAGACAGGCCAGTTCCACCAAGGCCTGGAAGTTTATAAACTGTGGCTTCAGACAAAAAATAAGAGAGAGAGAAAAGACAGCACAATTTGTGGTTCAAGGCGCTGTGATGTCATTTGGATGAGTGCTGCTCACTTTTTGGCCAGGTATCTTAACAGTGAGAGGTGACCGGCTCTTGGCTTCACTAACTTCTCATGTTTTTAAAGCAAAAGAGGGAGGAGGAGTATAAATTACTAACAGAGAACTGATGCAACAGCCTGGGTTCGGTGTGAGAAGGTAATGTATTTGGCCAGCGGATAAGGGAAAATAAGTCACCGCACCCTCCAGCACATGTAATTTAACGGAGGTTGGAACTTGAAATTCAGCTCTGCTCCCTGTGTAATAGGTAAAATTACTGCAACACAATGTATTCTGTCATAATTTCCCCTTCAATATCACTTCAAATCATATTTCTATGAATGCCCAGCCATTTACATATGAAGGAACATCTAAAAACTGGCTAAACTCCTTATGCCTACTATTTTCCCCTTGTGTGTGAGAATCCCACCTGTGTGTTCGTATTTATGGCGGAGCAATGAGCTGCTCTTCTGGAAGATTTTGTCACACAGGTCACAGGCGTACAGCCCACTCTCCGTCCTTTTCATCTTCTTTCTCGTCGGCCCTGAATCTGAGTCTGTCTGTTCTTCCAATGTTGAGGTGACCTCTGACCCCATCTCCTGTTTCTCCTCCTACATTGTGAGAAAAAGCAGATCATTTTGATTTGATATAACCAAGGTACATTTGTATGCACATACCCGACTCTTGGTACAAGGCACATTTGTATGAACGGCTCTCACCTTGATGCCATTGACGTGTATAACGTTCTTCTGTGGAGCGTCGTTCCCTGCTAGGCTGGAGGATGTAGTTGTGTAACTGTAAGTCAGCTGCGGGATCAGGATGGTCTGATTAGTGGTGGTAAGTGCACGAAGACATTGCGCTTGTCCCTGGTCAGTGATAGCCACTAGGGTGGGCAGTTGAGTGGTCACAATGTTTATGGGATTGGCACTTGGCTGGCTGGCATATATGGTAGCATTGGTGCTTGCATTGCTGAGCAGTTCCTTCTTTGTGCAAGTCAAATTCAATGGCTCCTCTTGAGCCGAGTAAACAGTGTTTACGTGACCGCTTGCCACAGCAGCTGTAGCAGCAGATTTTGGTAGCGACAGATCGAGAGGTCCCTCGCCTTCCTCAAGAGTCCTGGCTGGGACAGGACCATCGGCGGATAGGTTTAGTGGTGAAGGGGATGTAGGGACACTCTCTATCCCATTCTCCCCAGCTGCTACGCCCTCAGCTGGGCTACAGCATTCCCTCTCTCCTTGCTCCTCTGAGATCAGTTGCTTATCCGGCTCTGGTCGGGGTGATGCACCTCTAGTCCCATCCAAATCTCCAGGAGTGGTCTGCTCATCCTCAGCCAGGGGTGAGGAGGGTTCTAAAGAGATCTGTCCCAACTGCATCTTCTCATACCACTTCTTCACCACCTCTGCCGGAAGACTGACAGACTCTGATATCTTTGCCAGCTCCTCCTTGGTGGGCTCATTGTTTAAGGCAAAGTAAGCCTTGAGCAAGGAGAGAAGGTTCTTCAGGGGAGGCTGACCAGGACACAGTCCTTCCTCCAAGTCGATCTTCCTCTCAAGGTTTTTCCCATTTACCCTATGTCCATCTTTACCACAGTGCTTAAGTGTTGTGTCATTGTGTAAAATACTCTTCTCGTCCACAGTGATGGTGGTTTTGTCCCTATTCGTCTTGACTGTCAAGTCCTCTGGCAGCTTCTGAGCCTTGCAGGCTTCTGTGTTCAAACCCAAAGATTCCTTCTTCGGACTTTGAAGGACTGCTTGGGCCTGTAAAGGGTCTAGACTGTAATTGATGAAGATCTTCGCACTGCCATCCTGGTCCAAGATGGGAAGACTAATGGCCTGTATGACTTGCTGGGATGCTTGGGCAATTCCCACCCCTCCTGCTCCAACGATTCCCATCCCTGTTTGCTGCCCCTTAGCTTGTGTGCTTTCCAGCACTTGCCTGATGATGTTCCCATCCACTGCCACCTTCAGCACGTTCTGTAAGTCCCCCAGGTTGATGCTGATTGGGGATACCAGACCCACTGTTGGGAGCACAACAGCTTGTACGGCGCCCTGAAGAGGGGCTGCCGCCCCACCCTGGAATATGCCATTTACGCCTCTAGCAGATGGCGCCACCACCACAGGCTTGTACTCATAGTCCAGTGGCTCAGACTTGATCTGTGTCAAGGGAAGCTGTTCCTGAAGGGGTTTACTATTGTCCAGTTTGTCTCTGACTTGGACACGTGCCGTGGGGGAAGAGGTTGGCAGGGATGGGGAAGAGCACTGCGGGGTCTTGGCAGCCCCGGTGGCGGGAGAAGGTCGCGGCCGTCCGTTTACTGAGATGAGTCCGATGCACTTCTTACTGCTGATGTGGGAACTATAAGAACCGGAATGAGAGAAACGCTTCTTGCAGTTGGAGCACTCATAAGGCTTTTCTCCTACACAACACACACAATAAAGAAATGAGAAAACCGACAATTCACATATATATAAAGAGGTCTTCAACTCTATAGCTTTTACTGTTGAGGACACGTTGTGTGGTTCAGATTTGTGATGATCAAATGAATGGAGGATAAATCTCTTTAAGTAAATTAAACAGACACTTCATAGGTGGTCCTCAAAAGAAACTACAACACAGAAATATATATATATTTTTTTTTCAAACCATAAAGGCTATAAAAACAGTGTGTAGTTTTTAAAGGACAAACTCTCTTCGGTAGCCTTTGACAGTAAGTACTGTAAGTACTTTTAAGTACTTGAATGCTGAATTGCCCTACAAATTTGTACAAAGAAGTGAACAAATGCACACACATATGCATGCTTGCGAACACACACACACACACACACA